AATACAGTACATAATTACTTTAATGCATACATATATTTAATCATTGGAGTTATATAATAGTAATATGACAGAGATTAATTCTTAGAAGTTCCATTCAGGCAAAATTTTCTATGAAAATTTTTACTGTATTTAGCTAGAAAGTAGAAGAAACCGAACTAAATATTGTTACGAAATGTCCAGGCGCGGTAAGATAGCTACCCCGCAAAGCAATTTTAGGGTTGCCATAAAATAGCGAGGAGGGCAGGGTTGCCACATTTGGCGATAAATTCGCGATTTATTCAAAAAAGGCCATCGAACGTGAAGAATCAAAAATAGCGCAGAATGAATATTTAAAATTCTTACTGAATTCTCCGATTAAAGTTATTCTAATCCTTAGTATAATTAATTAATAGTTTCTCTCTTACTAGAAGGAAAATAATAACTTATAGCAGTGCACTGAAGCAGTTCAGTTATATATTGTTACGAAATGTACAGGCGCGGTAAGATGGCTTCCCCGCAAAGCAGCTTTAGGGTTACCATAAAATGGTAGAGAAAGGTAGGGTTGCCACATTTGGAGAGAAATCGCCCGTTTGGCTATATTTTGAGACAAAATTGGCGCCATGTCATGGACGGATGGAGAATATTCTGAAACGAATTCTTACCGGTTTAGCCCAGTATGTTCTCGAACAGAAGCCGGAAGCTATATAAACCCTGCTGGTGCGCAGTCAGTCAGTGTGCCTTATCGAGAGGGCGAGTCAGAGTGCGTCGTCTGGAGTGCGAGCTAGTTAGTATCGAGCTGGTGCCTCGTCTAGCCAGGCGTGCGGAATCGATTGAGTTGACAGCCGGGCAGCGAGTGCCAAGTGGGTCGTCGAGTGCATCGAAAGAGTCTCTTCGTATATCGCCGTTAGTGCATCGTCGAGAGAGCGTGTTAAGCTCCGGGATAGACTGAACCGAAGAGTCGGGAGCTGTGCTCTGTGTGTCATCGAGTGCATCGCGAGCTGTAGCGTGGAGAGTCTCGAGAGTACGTGGAGTTCCGAGAAAGAACGAGCAGAGTCGGGAGCTGTACTCTGCTGCTTTGTAGTGAAGCTGTCTCCACCGTTATTGCCTGACAGTGTGGAGGCTGTGTCGCTGATTGTGCCCAGCGTGTTTATAGTAGACCTTCGACGACTGTAAAAGTGTTTTGGAGCTGTCCTGATTAATATTGATAAATAAAGTGTGTTTCGATTAAGATACTTCATCCAGTGTCGTTGTTATTCACTCCAAATCTACGAACCCCGTACGAACGTGAAGGAAGAAAACAACGGAACAACTGGTGTCAGAAAAGAATGTTGCAAATTTAAGTCAGAAATATTTCTTGCATGCAAATAGATTTTTAATTAAACACTCGTAAAACTATCTGCAATTTTATATCCAACTTCATAAGTTGTGTACAGAAAAGCATTAATTAAATTTTAACCTCACAGAAAGATAAATCCTGAATTTACTGCATACTGTCAACTGCTGGTAATATCTTTTTAATTTCAATGTACACCCATCATGTATTCCTAAAGGATTCTCTATAAATGTATTTTGAGATAAGGCTGAATTGCATACATTACTGTTGTTCAACTACTAAAGGCAGAGGTAATGGGAAAATAAATACATTTAAGAGCAATTACCTTTCATTATTTTTTTACGTCATATATTGCGAAGCTATTAAACGATTCAAATGCTCCTTTATTCTTTTGGGACATTTTTAAATTAAAAGCAAGCAGAACAAATTAATTAATTGTTATTTTAAATGGTAAAAAAAGCAATTCGCTTGCTACATAAAAGAAGATACATCGAGGTTTTAGACCGAAGAAAACAATCCAAAATTTTTATTTGTTGCATTTAAGTAAAATACGCTGCTTAAACCTGATTGTTATATACAATGGGATTTTTAAAACATTGTGAGAAATGTTAACTGAAATGGTGTATTAAGTGATTCAATGAATGCATTAAGTGTGTAAATAATAAGAGTTATGGTTTAGAAGGTTGTTTAACATAGAAAGATAAGATTAAATTGATTGTAAGTGGTAAGGTAAAAAATGATGCATTTTTGTTATTTACTAACAAGGATTGCATTATAAATCTGTGGCGTAAAGTTAAGCTGAAATGAAGATCCAGCCTAATGCCAAATGCACGGAGTTAACTACTCTTTAAAACTTTAAGCAAACAAACAAATCAGAAATAAAAAAAAAAAATTAATTTAGCAATTTCTAGTGGTTTAAAACTGAAATTATAACAGAAACCAAATCGATCACTTGTGGTGTATGAATATATCGTATAAATGTAAATATGTCATATAAAGGTGCTGTCGTATAATTGTAAGTACGCCGTATAAAAGTGCTATCGTATAAATGCACATATGTCGCATACATGTGCTATCGTATAAACGCCCTTATTTCGTTAAAAAGATGCTCTTGTATAAATGCACGTATGTCGTATAAAGATACTATCGTATATATGCACGTATGTCGTATAAAGATGCTATTGTTTAAATGCACGTATGTGATATAAATATGCTATCGTATAAATGCGCTTACGTCGTATAAGGGTGCTGTCGCATAAATGCACGTATGTCATATAAAGATGCTATTGCTTAAATGCACGTATGTCGTATGAGATGCTATTGTATAAATGCACGTATGTTGTATAAGGATGCTATCGTATAAATGCACGTATGTCGTATAAAGATACTATCATATAAATGCACGCATATCCTAAAAAGATGCTATTATTTAAACGCACATGTGTCGTCTAAAGGTGCTATCGTATAAATGCACGTATGTCGTTTAAAGATACTATCGTATAAATGCACATATGTCATGTAAAGATGCTATTGCTTAAATGCACGTATGCCGCATAGAGATGCTGTCGTAAAAATGCACGTACGTCGTATAAGGGTGCTATTGCACAAATTCACTTCTGTTGTAAAAAGGTGCTATCGTATAAATACACGTTTGTCGTATAAAGATACTATGCTAAAAATGCACATATGTCGTATAAAGATGTTACTGTTTAACCCGGCGGAAGTCGCATCAAGAAAAGTTACTAGAGTGGGCGCGTGGGGTATCACATACCCCAATATTTAAAATACAATAAAAATAGTATTATTTAGTTTTAAAACTGTTATTGTTTTGTTCTCGTGTATTATAAATAAGTGAATAATAATTGGGTTTCAAAAAATTAATTTCCGAAATAATCTTAGAGTTAAAATTAAGATAAATGAAAATAATAAACATCATGCCTGTAAGTTTCATTGCATCTCTAATACACCATGCTTATTTTATTTCTTCACACTTTGAACGAAATACATTCACGTGTTCTTGGCACAGAATGTTTTCACATTTTAAACATTGCATTCACGTTCTTCTGTCCTTGGCGGGAGGGCAAAAAATTTAGCACATCTTTCATACTTAGTTGTTTCTAATTTCATGTATTCGTTTTAATTCTTCATCGAAACTTCTGCTTTTGTTTTGCATGCAGTACGTCAATTTCTTGGAAAAGTATTAATCTCTGATCTTTATTCAATACTTATTTCATTAATTGTAATGCTAAGTACTTCAAAAACAGACTTCTGTTTCTTGTTGATGGATTAGCAGTCGAATGTAATATAATTCAAGCATTTATTACAGCAACATTCAGTGCAGGAAAGAAAATTACCATTGGCCACCTCCTTGTTATTCTGGCAATTGAATAATTGGCTGACATTTCATCCCCCATATCCACTGCTCCTTTAGTCATATTATTAAAAGATATATTTCCTGACGTTTTATTTTCTCCAATGGTATCATCTATAGTATGATCGTTACATAATGTTGAAAGCATAAGAACAGTTTTTCCTTTTTTAGGAACATCAGGAATTAATGTTTTATCTTTTTCGAAACGAAAACATTGTAGAAAATATTCTTAGTTTCATCTTCAGTTTCCGAAATGTAATCTTCATCGGTTTCAAATATTTCTAATAAATCTCGCATGCGTTGCATCTCCAGTTCACAGGGACTCATTCTTTTTACCATAACGCAGTTACAAATTTTTAAGAATTTAATGTCAAGTACTTTAAAATCACTTGCAAGTAGAAATATTTACTGTTACACTCTAGAAATAAATTTCTGGACTAAATATTCAGCCAGAAAAACACTTACATGGACAGGCGCGTGGGGTGTGTCATACCCCAGTTCCAACAAAATACCGATAAATCTTTTTCTGAAACACACAGGCAAAGAAAAAGCGGTTCTGAAAGTCAACCACAACTAGAAACTCAGCTACTGAAAGCGGCACAGACTTTCAGTTTCACAAGTTAGGAATATTCCACTTTTATGTAGGGTTGGGGTATGATACAGCCCACGCGCCTCCCCGCGGGTTAAATGTACGTATGTGTATAAAGATGCTATCGTATAAATGCATGTGTGGCGTATAAACCTGCTATAGTATAAATGCACTTATATATCTTATAAATGTACGGATGTCGTATAAAGATGCTTATGTTATCGGATAAATCTAGGTATGTTGTGAAAACATGCCTATTGTATAAATGTTGCTGCTGTTGTTGCTTATCCTCGAAAGATCTGACATATGTCAGATCAGCTCCAGAAGGTTGTTGACCGTAAAAAAATCAATAACAGTGAGGGGATTGGATGTTAAGTCCTCCTTATGCAACCCAGTATGTGATCCGGTGAAGCTGGATGGTCACAACATTTTTTACAAGCGGGGTGGATTTTTCTGCCACTATCGAAGGAAAGACATTTAAGGTGGCCACGTTTTAGTCTAGCCAGAGCAGTCTGAGAGCCACGGTCACATTTGATTTCCAGTAGGGAGCCAGGGAATGTTCCTGTGTATCATTAGTGCATAGGTGGAATATACCATATTACATCAAGTTTAGATCTTTCGTTTGAGTTTAGATCCTCGAAAGATCTGACATATGTCAGATCAGCTCCAGAAGGTTGTTGACCGTCAAAAAATCAATAACAGTGAGGGGATTGGATGTTAAGTCCTCCTTATGCAACCCAGTAAAGTTCTTGGTAAATAAGTGAGGAGCCAGTTACCATTTCATTTTCACTATCCTCTTTCGCCAGTCTATCAGCGACTTCATTACCACTAATATTAACATGTGATGGGATCCACTTGAGGTGGACGTCGTGGATCTGAGAGATCTTCCTCAGTTTGAGCAGAATAGATATGCTGGTTTCATCGCATGCGGAAGACCAGCCACCAAGACGTTGTAGCGCATTGCGGCTGTCCGATAAAATCCATAGCTCCCCAAAATCACAATCATAAGCCAAGATGGCATCAAGTCCCACATTAATCGCAATTAACTGGCTCTTGAGGACAGAGCAAGTGTCAGGGTTGCGTTGCTTTATTGTAGCTTTAAAGTGAGGGGTCTCAATAAAGATACCGCTGCCAGTACGACCTTCTGTACGACTACCGGCAATATAGACTTGCACTGCATCTTTAGGAATGCAACTAATAATTTCCAGAGCCAGTTGCCTAAGAAGGTCTTTAGGCATATGTCGTATGTCGGGTATAAGTGCATAAATGCACTTCAGATATGTATGTCATATGCTACCGCTTGTCTTACAACTTTCAGAACTTTTACAACAGTTCAGATCTTTATAAGACTACGTTCTTGAAAGCTAGACCTAGTCAGACTACCCTGCAACTAAGCTCTCAAATGATGACTCTTAAAAGTCTTACCTGATTCTCAAATGACAAGAGCATTATAGCTACCTAATGTCGGCCATCTACGGATACTAATTCTCACAGAAATGGCAACTGTGCAATGAATATTCCAGTAAGTTAAATTTCAACTTTTAATCTATGCCACATGCCTTCAAATTTTCATCATCTTCTGGTCTGAGCGAAACATGTTACATGAGCTAAGAAATATCCCATCAAAAAGTTTAAACTGTAGTTATTATCAAACGTAAGACCAACTGTCACATCATCATCAACGCTTATTTCATTAATAATGTTTTAAGGGATTTTTCTCCTTCTTTATCGCGTGCCTTTGTGGTGTAATGGGAAGAACGTTCGGCTAGCAGTCGGGAAATACAGAATTCGAAATACGGCGAGGGTAATGCTGATTTTTCAAAAATTTCTGCTCCGAAATAAATCTGGGAACTCTACATTGTTGATTATCAACAATTCATAAACAATTTGAGTTTTGTGTATATATTGTGGTGTCCCGCGGCCCCAACCTACACGCAACAATAATAGTGACTGCTATGAACTGGAAAGTACACAAAACTCTTAAGAAGGGTTTAACTCCCTTTTTTATTCTACTTTAGAAGTTACAGATGCGTGCACTTGACGCTCACAAACTACGCCGACCCGGCGGTAAAATAAAAATAAGAAACTAAAAATGAATAATAACAAGTTACTACCTACGTATTCATTTTACGAGGCTCTCTAAACGTACTAACCTAACCGCGTTCTAAGATACCGCTGATATTTCAGAAAACTTCTGAATATTAAGTTGAAAGATTCAACTATCTGCCGAGGCAAACACACAGGCCGAAACGCACGGTTCTTCAATTTCTACCTAGCCACCTTCACGCTCGTGAAGCAAGAAAGCACACTTACGAACTTGTTTCCCTTCTATTTAACTCAAATTACTTCCGCTGACAATTTGAATACTTTGCGCGTTCTACTAAAATTTACATACTCTGGCATTGGCAATTCCAGGGGAAAGTAAGGCTTGACAGGAAAGATAGTTTAAACTTAAAATAAATATAAACCCTACAATATATTTGCTTCTCATTAACTTTCGTTTGAAATACCTTTTATCATATAACTTTATGTTTATTATAGTTACTATCAAATAGCGTTACCTTAAAGTTAGCATATTATAATTCAAATGCTATTGTGATATATAGTTAAATATTTTTATTTAATGCAGCTAATTATTGCTGACGTATATTGTAAAGGTTTCCTGCAGATTTAATCATAACATTTGTCAAATTAGCTGCGAAATTTAAATAAAACTGATAAAATTTGTACGTGTATTGGCTGGATTGGATTTGTACTTGTATTTTATGGAAAATTTCGAATAATGGTCTAATATATTAAAGAGTTTTAAATAACAAAAAAGTTTGGAAAATATTAAAAAGAATACTGAAAATCACATGACTTTTGTGATATAAATTGCAATCTGAACTTTGTATGCAGATTTCAGATTGACGTCTGAAGAAAGTTACGAAAAGCCTACCTGTTATGAATTGCATGCCATAAATTTAAGATATTTAGATCATAAAATAAGACATAATGATTCAAGCTGTGTATTTATCTCCCTGGACCGCCTGTGTACGAGGCATGCAACAAACATTGCCCTCAAGTGTCGATATTTTTTATTTTGCCCGCATATCAGATCCGGTTACTCAAAACAATAAATACCTGGTAAAGGTGTTTAATAAATACATGAATAAAATAAAAATAAAGAAATTCATATTTCAATCGTGAAAGAAGTTTTATTTTTTAAGTATACTCGTACAATATATCGCTAAAAAGCTGGAAAGTCATCTTTGTGATACCGTCCTATCCAGAATGTATAATCATGTACAGAAATTTGTACTTAATTTTATTTGTACTTAATTTAAGGGGACTCATACACCTTAAACCCCTCTTGATCTTCGAATAGGTGACTGTTGCAAGAATTGGGATATTTTATTTATTTTAAAAGCAATTACTTCCAACTTTTTACAGCTGACTTCATGATATAGCTGCTTTGGAAACTAGTAACCAGAAAATTTGTGTTGTCACAAATAGTTTTGTAATTTAATCCTCTTTGTGACAAAATATTTCGCCGTATTTCCACCTTGCGCGCATGATATTTTAAAAATGGCTAATGGTACATACTTGAAATTGGTTAGTATTCTTTATATGGGTACTATTTTCTAACTGAACCAACAATCTGATGAATATTTTAATTTTAAAAAATTTTATGGACGAAAACATTATAATTTTTTTTAATAAAATACATTTTATAAACTCATCTCAAAAGAAAATAAAAATTTAATATGAAATTTTTAGAATTTTAGGTTCACAATAGTTTCCAGATGTTATAAAAGCTATATATTAAATATGGAATTAAATTATGAAACAGAATGTTTTAAACTGTGCGCGCAAGTTGGAAACATGACGAAAAATGTTGTCACAAAGCGGATTAAATTATGAAAATATTTGTGGCAACACAAACTTTCTGATTACTATTTCAGAAAGCAGCTATATTATGTAGTCATCTGTAAAACGTTGGTAGTAATTTTTTTTTAAATAAATAAGTTATCCGAATTCTTGCAACAGTCACCTGTTCAAACATCTTATGGATTTTAAGGTGTATGAGTCCCCTTAAATAGACTTAATTATTCGAGATGCAGCTTAGTACATATTTCATAAAATTTCTTGCGCACGAGGCTTGCAACAAATACTTTCTTAAGTGGTAATACTTTCTGTTTTTATCAGAGCATGGAATAAATTTAATAAATGCCTCTAAAAGGTTTCTTCCGAAGTTTTTGCGCATAATATCTTGAAGCATTTATAAATAAATTCTTGAGGAAATATTAAAGAATATTAGCTACGACATTTGACTATTTTCGATCGAAATAAAGAAAGCTATACACATTTTTCAATTATAAATAATCATTTTATAATGATGGGAACTTCGTTTAAGATATTAGGAAACAGTTACAATAATTAAATTATTTTGAAGAGTTTAGTCGATCCGAGTAAAGTACTTATAATCTCTTAACGCACTTCGAGAATTTTCGGTACTGACCGGAATAAAAAATAACTGATATGGACATTATATGACTTTCTTGTAAGGCACATATTTTGCTGCATATCATTTAAACTTATTTCCTAGAATTTTTCTAACATAGCAACCGATCCCTCGAGGCAAGTTAAAAATGACATCAAAAAATGAAAACTTTGAAAGTTAATATCCCCGTCAAATTTGTCAAACACTCAAACTTCTAACTTTATTTTTCCATAAGTATAAAACTTTCCCAAGCATGAGTGTAGGAATTAGGAGACGACATAAAATTTATTTTGTCATTTGTCGAAAATTAAGTTTCTGTTAAATGTCACATTGCCAAAGCATGAATATTTTCGTCATTTAAGACGCTTTTGTAACTGGACGTACATAACAACGACCAGCGGTTGCGAAAATAAACGCCAAGTATGGACATGTAAGCCGGGTAAGGGGGTGGTCGTTCGATTTTGCTCATTACAATTAGAAAGGAAAGTGCACAACTAGGTTTTATTGCATTTCCATGTACGAAATTTGAACTTTACACGGATAATCATTTTTGAGTTATGTGAGATACAAACACACATATATACGTATATACGTACGTACGCACGTACCTACAGACCTCACGAACAAAATACCTTTTTTTCTATTTTAAATCTATTTTACTATTGGTTTTGAAAAAAAAAAAGCCTTTTATTCTGTCGCTACGTACAGATGCAAAATCAACCAAATGGATCCGGAAACGGTTAAAATGGATATTTCCATTGGAATATGACACCCGAAGTTTTTTTGGATTACAATATTTATTTTACTTCGTACAAGGAGGTGAAAATGATGCTTTTTAGTTTCAAAAATCGTACCTGTCACACATGGTCCCCCCCCCGAAAAAAAAACGACGATAGTTTAATAGAGGGACCGGAAAGTAATGTAGCTTTCTTACATTAAATTCAAACGAATACATTTGTAACAAGTTTTTATTTTTAATCAGTAACATAATCACCCTCGTTATCAGCAACCTTTTGCCATCTAGTATGCCGATTTCAATCCCAGACCGATACAAATCAATTGGTTTTTGAGTGAAATATCTCGAGATGGCATTTTGGACATCATCCAAATTTTCAAATTTTTTGTCACTAAGAAAACCTGTAGAGATCGAAATAAATGGAAATCCGAGGGTGCGACATCGGGCGAATGTGGTGGGTGAGGCAGTACCTCCCACTACAAATCATTGTATTTTTCCAGTGTTTGTCTTGCACAGTGCGGTTTTGCATTGTCGTGTTGCGGAATGACGCCTTTTTCGTTGACAATCGCCAGATATTTTTCTATTAAAGATTGGTTCACTAGAACCAATTGTTCACAATAAAGGTCTACATTAACAGTTTTTCCAGGTTTCAGCAATTCAAAATGAACAATTCCTCGAATACTCCATCAAACATCCAGAAACGCCTTTTCGGGATGTAAACTCTTTGTAACCCTTATTAAAACTGCCTTTTGATTTTGGATTATCATATAGGACTTATTTTTTGTCTCCACTAATCAAACGATCAAAAAACGGTTCTATATAATGCCGTTGAAGCAATATGTTGCATGTGATGGATAGGCTGGCTTTGTTCTTTTCGAACAGATTATGGAGGACTCAAACACCTGCTTTGTTTATTTTTCCATTTTGCTTTAAATGTTCTTGGATGGTCGACCAAGGTTGATTAAGAGTGTTTGACACAGATTTGCTTCCACTTCTGCTCTTAGCATGTTGTTGTCGAC